GCCACGTGTCTGAGTGACGTCACTGATGTAAACACAAGCCACGTGCCTGAAAGAGTGACGTCACTGATATAAACACAAGCCACGTGTCTGAGTGACGTCACTGATGTAAACACAAGCCACGTGCTTGAAAGAGTGCTGTTCACAAATAATCCCAGCAATAGGGTGGGGTGGGGGGGGAGGTTGTTCTGAACAGTTCTGAAGTCTCGGATGTAACACTGAACACTTCAGAGGTCAGATTTGTTTCATTGAACTGTTGTATCATAACTCCCTTCCCCCCCCCCAGACCTCTCACTTCACCCCCCCACACACACCTGACCCCCACACACCTGACCCCCCACACACCTGACCCCCCACAAACCTGATCCCCCCACACACCTGACACTCTACAACCTTACCTAACCCCCACAACCTGACAACCCCCACACACACACCTCTCAAGGGACCACCTTCCTACTTTTCCTATCAGTTCTCACACTCACTCACTCACTCAGCCGCGAGGTCCCCCTGTATAATGGAGAGAATGATCATTTTGGGGGGTCAATAATCACACGGTCTTATCATGTATTGTTCTGCCATACCTCCGTAATTTTGTGATAAGGCTCATGTAATTACCAGAGATAGGAGGTTGCCCCCTTACTCAAGCCGCGTTCACCTCAGTTATGTGACCAGTTTTTGCGCGTTATCCATAAAACTGCTTAATTGACTTAGCACGCACTCAGAGATTAAATTAATGTGATGTTCGTGCAACCTGTTTCTACAACTTTTTGTCAATGGCTTGTCTAATTTTGTTGGTGGTTTTATGATTTTTTTTGTTGAGTGAGGAATTATGTCTGTTGTGTTGCATTTTTTTATCACTACAAAGCGCTATGAATTGGGGTTCTAAGATGCGTAAAGTGGGTACGTTGCAGGGTACAGCCCCGTCCTTCAAAGACCCTAAGTCCATTCCATGCACCCGCCAACCCCCCTGTTTATGAATGAAAAACGGTTTACACACGACTCACAGCTGATTTCGTTCGAACACTTCCGGAACAAGTGTTTCACTGACGAATTTTGTTCGAATCACAACGCTATAAATGCTTCACCCACGTACTACAAATACAAATAATCGCCAACAGAACCTAAACACCTAACCTAACCTATACCTATATATGCACAATATGCTAATATATTATAATATTAATTTATACTTGAGAAAATTCCCGTTTTGAATGAACAGCATGTTAAAATTTATGAATGCGTCTGTGGGGTCGACCGCTGGATGTAATGGACTTGAGTCGAGGACGGGTTGACATCTAACCTAACCTATGCCTATATATGCACAATATGCTAATGTATTATAATATTAATTTATATTTGAGAAAATTACCGTTTTGAATGAACAGCATTTAATAATTTATGAATGCGTCTGTGGGGTCGACCGCTGGATGGAATGGACTTGAGTCGAGGACGGGTTGCAGGGTGTGTGGTGGCACTGGACTTGTTCCGTCACGCTCCCAAGGTGTGTGGTCGGCTTGGACTTGTTGTCCCATGCTCTTGGGGGTGTGTAGTGGTGGCTTTGGACTTGTTTGGTCGCGCCTCGTGTTACGTCGTGTAATGGGGGTCGTGTTAAGGGAAATCAGTCTGGTTCGGAGGTCGTTTCCTGGTGTATAGAGTATACACACACACACACACACACACACACACACACACACACACACACACACACACATACACACACACACACACCGGGCCGGTGGCTGTGTGGACAGCACGCTTGATACGTAGTCATGTGCACCGGGGTTCGATTTCCGGGGCCGGCAGAAACAAATGAGCGGAGTTTCTTTCACCCTGATGTCCTTGTTACCTAGCAGTAAATAGGTTCCTAGGAGTTAGACAGCTGTTACGGAGCTGTTTCCTGTGTGTGTGTGTGTGTGTACTCACCTAGTTGTGCTTGCGGGGGTTGAGCTCTGGCTCTTTGGTCCCGCCTCTAGTGGTCCTGTGTGTGTATGTGTGTGTGTGTGTAAAGAAAAAGTAGTTAAAACAGTTGATTGATTGACAGTTGAAAGGCGGGCCGAAAGAGCAGAGCTCAACCCCCGCAAGCACAACTAGGTGAATACAATTCAGAACCTTGTGTACACCACATATGTAAGACCAATCCTAGAGTATGCGACCCCAGCATGGAGCCCGTACCTTGTCAAGCACAAGACGAAGTTGGAAAAAAGTTCAGAGGTATGCCACTAGACTAGTCCCAGAACTAAGAGGCATGAGTTACGAGGAAAGGCTGCGGGAAATGCACCTCACGACACTATAGAGGACAGAAGAATAAGGGGAGACATGATCACTACCTACAAAATTCTCAGAGGAATTGACAGGGTAGATAAACAACACGGGTGGGACACGAACAAGGGGACACAGGTGGAGACTGAGTACCAAAATGAGCCACAGGGACGTTAGGAAGAACTTTTTCAGTGTCATAATGAGCTTCGGGGCTCATTAACTGTTTAATGTTTGTAAACACAGTTGTCAATGGGTGGAAAAAAGATGGAGAAGTTCGTAAGTATTTGTGTGATGAGTCCTTTATCAACGGTGTGATGAGTCCTTTATCAACGGTGTGATGAGTCCTTTATCAACGGTGTGATGAGTCCTTTATCAACGGTGTGATGAGTCCTTTATCAACGGTGTGATGAGTCCTTTATCAACGGTGTGATGAGTCCTTTATCAACGGTGTGATGGCTTTGTTGATGAGCTTTGTTTGACATCACGTGTCACCTGGTCCATTGGGTGTGTCACCTGGTCCATTGTGTGTGTCACCTGGTCCATTGTGTGTCACCTGGTCCGTTGTGTGTCACCTGGTCCATTGTGTGTGTCACCTGGTCCATTGTGTGTGTCACCTGGTCCATTGTGTGTCACCTGGTCCATTGTGTGTGTCACCTGGTCCATTGTGTGTGTCACCTGGTCCATTGTGTGTGTCACCTGGTCCATTGTGTGTGTCACCTGGTCCATTGTGTGTGTCACCTGGTCCATTGTGTGTGTCACCTGGTCCATTGTGTGTCACCTGGTCCATTGTGTGTGTCACCTGGTCCATTGTGTGTGTCACCTGGTCCTTGTGTGTGTCACCTGGTCCATTGTGTGTGTCACCTGGTCCATTGTGTGTGTCACCTGGTCCATTGTGTGTGTCACCTGGTCCATTGTGTGTGTGTCACCTGGTCCATTGTGTGTGTCACCTGGTCCATTGTATGTGTGTGTCACCTGGTCCATTGTGTGTGTGTCACCTGGTCCATCATGTGTTACCTCCCCCCCCCCCGGGTGACCTGTGGGGGGGGGGAACACTCTGAGAACTGTGTACAGGTAAACTCTAGGTAAGACCAGACCATTCGTTATGTATGGAATATTTTCATGTTTTACGACCCAGCAAACAAATTATACACTGTGTATTAGTATACATTATTCCCTTTGTTAATAAGTAACTACCTGGCTGTATAAGGGTGTATGCCGTACGTAATTATTGCACACCTGCAACGGATAGCGCGCGCACACACACACACACACACACACACACACACACACACACACACACACACACACACACACTTACACTTATCCTGTAACTACACTTAGGTAATTACACTTAGGTAATTACACACACACACACACACACACACACACACATGACGAGGACTGAAACAGCCAGTACAGCAGTACAGGATGAAGGGAAGACACATTCTTCAATCAAGAAAGACCTGTGAGTGGCCATTAATCTGACGTCAGGAGCTCACATTACCCCAACAACAACAGCTCAGTGTAACAACCTCACCGACATCCGCTTATCCTTCAGAAACTTGGATTAGCAGGCTTTCCCGGACCCTATATACAGCGAAAAATGGAACCCACCTGCTCAATTACTGCTGGGTGAACAGGGGCGAAGAGTTATAGAGAGATAACCTGCTAAATTTTTCCCGGTCGCGGATCGAACGCAGTTGTTTCGTAGGGGAGATCCACCAGCATGGAACACTTACCTGAAAAAAAAGGACAAGGAGGAATTAGAAAAGGTCCAAAGATATGCAACGAGACTAGTTCCTGAGCTGAAGGGATTGAGCTATGAGGAAAGACTGAGAGAACTGGACCTTACCACCCTGGAGGAAAGGTGAGTTAGGGGGAGACATGATAACAACATACAAGATTCGAGGGGAAATTGACAATTTAAACAAAAGCAGCGTTGTTCAAAGTTAGGAACAGCAGCACGAAGGGTCATGGATGGAAACTAGAGACGCAAATACGTCACAAAACGTCAGAAAAAACGTTTTCAGTGGTAAAGCTCTCAATAAGAGGATCAGGTTAGACGTAGAAGCTGTTGAACCTAATTACATTCAAAGTTTTATATGACAATAATGTAAAAGATTGAGAAATTAGTCATTGAATTAATTTAAGAACGTTCGGAAGGCGGGGACTAGGAGCCTAGCTCAACCCTGCGAGTACAGCTACAGGCACATCTCAGCCACCGGCTCTACAGGGGCCGGTGGCTGAGCGGACAGCACGCTGGGCGCGTGATCCTGTGATCCCCGGTTCAATTCCGGCGAGAAACAATGGGCAGAGTTTCTTTCACCCTGATGTCTCCTGTTACCTAGCAGTAAATAGGTACCTGGGAGTTAGTCAGCTGTCACGGGCTGCTTCCTGGGGTATGTGTGAGTGTGGAGGGGGGGGGGAAATAATAGTAACAGTTGATTGACAGTTGAGAGGCGGGCCTAAAGAGCAGAGCTCAATCCCCGCAAGCACAACTAGGTGAATACATCTAGGTGCTTCCAGTTCTGCAAGCACTGGAACACAAGTAACAATGATATAAAATAGGAACAATGTCACATTGGTATAAAATATATATATATATACCCTGGCCCACCCATAGACTCAGCCCAGTGAGTTATTACAGCCCTAATTTTCCAAGGGGAGGAAATTAGTATATCATAATATATTTCTCAATTAGCGTTTTCTCCAACTTTAAATCATTCTTCGGGTTTCTCCCTCAGGCCTTCATGACCAATGGCACCAACATGAATCTCCAAGTCTCCACCACAGGCTTCTCCAACAACCATAAAGAGGTCGACTTTGACAAGGAGCCCGGCAAGGTGAGACTATTTTTGTTTTTTCCCCTTTTTTCGTTTTATCACATCATTTTGAATTGCTTTTATATTCTCGTGGGTTTTGTTTAGGCAGACAGGTGATAAAACTCATTGTGGTGTTTGTTTGTTTGTGTGTTACCAGGAGGCCTGGTCGACGACCGGGCCGCGGGGACGCTAAGCCCCGGAAGCACCTCAAGGTAACCGGGAGCTGAGTTGGTCGTGAATCTGGTCTGACTGGTCTATATCACAGATATAAAAGCTTTTCAAAGTTACCCATCACAGATGAGGACACAGTTCAAATACACCAATCACAGATGAGGACACAGTTCAAATACACCAATCACAGATGAGGACACAGTTCAAATGCACCAATCACAGATGAGGACACAGTTCAAATACACCAATCACAGATGAGGACACAGTTCAAATACACCAATCACAGATGAGGACACAGTTCAAATGCACCAATCACAGATGAGGACACAGTTCAAATGCACCAATCACAGATGAGGACACAATTCAAATGCACCAATCACAGATGAGGACACAATTCAAACGCACCAATCACAGATGAGGACATAATTCAAATGCACCAATCACAGATGAGGACACAGTTCAAATACACCAATCACAGATGAGGACACAGTTCAAATGCACCAATCACAGATGAGGACACAATTCAAACGCACCAATCACAGATGAGGACACAGTTCAAATGCACCAATCACAGATGAGGACACAATTCAAATGCACCAATCACAGATGAGGACACAATTCAAACGCACCAATCACAGATGAGGACATAATTCAAATGCACCAATCCCAAATCTAGAAACATTACAAACGCACCAAACACAGACGAGGAAACTTTTCCAGCTGAGGATTGACTTAAATAACTTAGAATTTAGGCACCGTTGACCTGAAATGGTCTCGTGACCTTGGATGACCTTGTTGGCCACCCGTCGTCTCCGGGTCATTGGTCTCTTATAAACCCTTCTCAAAGGGCCCCGCATCATTAGACCAAAACTACCGGGTTTAGCACTGAGGGACCTATTTAAACCAGTCCTGGGGGAGGGGAGTAGGGGGGTAGGTTTGTTTGGTCTATAACTACTATAATCTTGAGAACTACCAGATTACGTAGCATTAATGTAACTAACGATGCCAGCCCTTCGAGGGAGCCGCCCCCAATCCCCCCCTCCCCTCTCGTGATCCAAGCAACTATAATTTTTGCAATTATAGTACCAATGGCAGCGTGGCCCCGGGTAGTTAGGTAGGCAGGTAAGAGGTGTTGGGAACTATTAACAATCTTAAAACCCATTCAAGAATCAATAATAAGCAACAATACATAACAAACATTTGATAAACAAAAGAAGAATCACCGCCACGTGGAGTAAAAAAAAATATACACAAATTCACTATATGGCAACACCGTAAACGCGCGAAAAAGTTCGACGTAAACATTAGCGACGATACATCACGACGCGCGAAAATTAAAGAACGCTAAAACGTGAAGGGGGTCCGAGAGAGCATGTTCTAAAATAAACAAAAAATTCAAATTAGAGGGATTTAAAGTACGCGTTAATTACGCGATGTAAAGATGACGGGAAATATGAGAAGAAAAATATTTTGAAAAAACGCAGGATATCTTGACATAGATTTGGGGAAAAAAAAATATTTGGGTAGAAAATCATTATTTTTATTGTTGTAACCCTTTCACTGTTGTTCCCTTACTGTTGTAACCTTTCACTGTTGTTCCCTTACTGTTGTAACCCTTTCACTGTTGTTCCCTTACTGTTGTAACCTTTCACTGTTGTTCCCTTACTGTTGTAACCTTTCACTGTTGTTCCCTTACTGTTGTTCCCTTACTGTTGCAACCCTTACACTGTAGTTCCTTTACTGCTGTAACCGTTTCACTGTTGTTCCCTTACTGTTGTAACCTTTCACTGTTGTTCCCTTACTGTTGTAACCTTTCACTGTTGTTCCCTTACTGTTGTAACCTTTCACTGTTGTTCCCTTACTGTTGTAACCCTTTCACTGTTGTTCCCTTACTGTTGCAACCCTTACACTGTAGTTCCTTTACTGCTGTAACCGTTTCACTGTTGTTCCCTTACTGTTGTAACCCTTTCACTGTTGGTCTCTTACTGTTTTAACCCTTTCAACGTGATTCCCTTACTGTTGTAACCATTTCACTGTTGTTATCTTACTGTTTTAATCCTTTCACCGTTGTTATCTTACTGTTTTAATCCTTTCACCGCTGTTATCTTACTGTTTTAATCCTTTCACCGCTGTTATCTTATTGTTTTAATCCTTTCACCGTTGTTATCTTACTGTGTTAATCCTTTCACCGTTGTTATCTTACTGTTTAAATCCTTTCACCGTTGTTATCTTACTGTTTAAATCCTTTCACCGTTGTTCCCTTATTGTTCTCCCCCTTGCTGTTGCCCCCCATACTGTTGATCCCTTACTGTTGACACCACTTACTGTTCATCACCTTACTGTTGACCGTTCCCCATTAACTGTTGTCACCGTAATGACACTACTGTTTAATAACCGCATCACATCAGGTGAAGTAAACGCTGGCTTGAGTGGCTCTAGACCCTAGGACCAAGGACACTTCAGCGCCGTCCATCCTGGGCCGAATATTTCCCCAATGTAAACAAAAAAACAAAAGAGAGCGGGCGCGCCGAGGATCCTGTTAAACAAAGACCCAATGGAGAAGTGATATTATTAAGCACATCTGTTGCCCTCCCCCGCGGCTCTGCTTTTACAGTAGCAGCAGCAGCAGCAGCAGCAGCAGCAATGAGAGATGGCAGGTGCGCTGAAGGACATATTAGCATATATTAATTTTCTTGCCTAGCGCATGCGCCTTGAGGGGGTTCGGAAACGCTAGCAGGTGGTGCCCGGGGTGGAGCGTAACGGGTCTAGGGGGGCGGAGCGTCAGGGCCCCGGGCCGCGCGTAATGCATCCTCGACGACAACAGGCTACTCATTTGGTAATTTACTCCGGTAATTAAGTTCATTTTGATAATGGAACGACACAAAAAAGTAGTTTGCTGTTTATTATACACGTCATATATACGGATCTACTAAGCGGTTATCATCAGGCGTGTAATTTATACTATAGCGGGCAAGAGACTTGATGTTAATGACTGACCCAGCCTAATTATTTTCCCATTATGAGGTAATTAAAGTTAATTAGCGCAAAGTGGCTCCGACAAGAGCTTGTTGGCACTGTCTAAGCCTACCCCCCTCCCCCCCTCCCCCTGTCACCCTTCCCTGCCTCTTAACCCCTTTTTTTCCACGGTTAATTACCGTTATTAAACCCCCCTTGATAGCCTAATCATCTTGTTAAACGCCCCAAGATCGTTAATCGCACTCACGTTCAGCGTTGGCCGTTATTAACTTCAAATATATTAACGTTTCTTAGACGCTAATATTTACGTAATTAAAGTTGCTTTAAGTGTCTTTAAATAAGACGTTTCTTCAATTAATACCATCCTATATTCTTCAATTAATATGCATCCTTATAAACAAATCCACAAGGGCCGTGACGAGGATTCGAACCTGCGTCCGGGAGCTTCATCCTTATATATTCTTATATTTGCAAATTATACCCCCTTAACCTCAAAGGGGATCTACCTGCCCCATTACCTTCAGGAAGTACCCGCCTGCCCCATTACCTTCAGGAAGTACCCGCCTGCCCCCATTACCTGCCCGCCTGCCCCCATTACCTTCAGGAAGTACCCGCCTGCCCCCATTACCTTCAGGAAGTACCCGCCTGCCCCATTACCTTCAGGAAGTACCCGCCTGCCCCCATTACCTTCAGGAAGTACCCGCCTGCCCCCATTACCTTCAGGAAGTACCCGCCTGCCCCATTACCTTCATGAAGTACCCGCCTGCCCCCATTACCTTCAGGAAGTACCCGCCTGCCCCCATTACCTTCAGGAAGTACCCGCCTGCCCCCATTACCTTCAGGAAGTACCCGCCTGCCCCATTACCTTCAGGAAGTACCCGCCTGCCCCATTACCTTCAGGAAGTACCCGCCTGCCCCATTACCTTCAGGAAGTACCCGCCTGCCCCATTACCTTCAGAAAATACCCGCCTGCCCCATTACCTTCAGAAAATACCCGCCTGCCCCATTACCTTCAGGAAGTACCCGCCTGCCCCCATTAGCACCCATTAATCTACATGTAAAAATATTCCACGAAAGAAAATATGAAAAAATGTGTAAAAGTCGAGCAATATTTTTCCCGTCATGTTAATGAGTAAATAATTTATATTTCAATATCGATAATGGAAGCTCGAACTCTTCTGCTGGACATAATAGGTTGTTGGATCCGTTTAGGCTACGAATAGGTGATGAGATCCTTCAACACACTGCAATAGAAATATTTAGACTTTCTATAGCATAAGAGATCATATGAAGCGGCCTCGCTTCATGCAGGTCGGCGTTCAATCCCCAACCGTCCACAAGTGGTTGGGCACCATTCCTTTTCCCCTCGTCTCGTTCTGTTTAATAATCCTTATTAAACAGAATCCTTATCAGGGGTCAGGATGCTTATCCTGACCCCTACCCAGTGCTATATAGCCGTAACGGCTTAGCGCTTTCTCCTGATAGGTCCATGCCATTCCTATGCAATACATATATATATACGGATTCTTCTCCCTATTAAAGAGGTGATCCGACATTCTTTAACTAGGTGATAATTAACACTCTCCTAAAGTAATTAGATCCTCTTAGCTGGCCGACGTGTAATTAGCTGCTGCTATACTCCGCAATTGGTAATTGCGCTCTCCCAAACTACCCAGTAGGCAATTAGAGGCTCCACAATGACCCAGACGGCGATAAGTATGCAATAAACAAACCCCCCTAACACGTGGTTGGCCCCCCCCCCCCCCCCCCCCGGCCAATCCTACATACAGCGATAGAAGAAGACTCTAAACTCCTTCAGGAAGAAAAAGAAATTGAAATTGATTTCAGGAAGTGTAAACACGTTTCAGTCTTTC